ATAATTTATGTCTAAATTAAAAACACCTAAGAATAGTTTTTCTGTTATTGGTTTAGACCGTATAACTGGTAATTGGGTAAGTTATTTAAGAAAAAGTATCACCTGTTGATCAGATGAAAAGTGTTTAATATTTCTTACATGTTTGTACTTTATTAACATTTGTCAGTTTTTCAGAGAAGCAGGCTAGCTGAAATGTTAAAATATTATGTTTTAATTTTCAATTACATTCTTGTGCATACTAACATTCCCATTTAATTTTGGTAATGCTTTCAAAAGTGATGCAGATGCTGCAGTCTTATCGTTCATTGTACTGAGTCTCTCATTTTCAACAGATCACTCATTCTAGCACTTATTGTTGTCTTTTGCACAAGTTTGTGCAGTATGTTAAATAATATAACATTATTTTATCCAATTTTGATTATTGATTCTATGGTTTAATACACATAATATAACAGACTTTTCCTGTTGCCATATTACAGTGTCTGTGTCATAAAGCCTAATTCTATTGAAGTATTTTTTCAGACCAAAATGTTCTTTGAGGATATCGTCACTGTACGAGTACGTAACTGATTTCTGCCTAATGACAACATTTCTTCAGTGTTCTCCTTTGTTGGTTGTTTAATGAAATTCTTCCTCTATTGGATAAATTGTTCTCATATCTCTTATACTGATTGTTAATCCGTTCTGTTAATTGGTCTCGTACTATATGTAGTTTTGGTTACTAGGGTAGGATTCGGGTAGTATAAGGAGTTTAAGGGACCTCCCTGTTAATTCGTCGAATTTTGCATTGCTCTCAACTTAACCAATTTATACCTACTTAATCTGATTATTTGTTATTGTCCTTAGAAATACTTGATACCTGTAATACCTCGTACGTCTCTATTTAGAAAATGAAAATCAAATGATATCATAAACGGTGTCTGGCCTGTCAATGTATCAGATAGTAAATGTGTGTTTCATTTCTGTCACCTCGATCCGAAATTATCATCTGAAATATTTCAGTAACACTAAGCTTTAGAATTATGTGGTTTGTTCTCATACCTGGATTGTAATTGTTTAGTCTATTGTGCTCCAGGTTTGCATGAATGCCTCCTGATGTGTGCTTCAGCTTGAAAAGACATTTACTAAGGTTTCCATTGCTTCCATTATTGTCAAATGAGCGACTTCACGGATAAGCTATCCCGATACCAAAGATGCATATGTTGTCATGGATCTAATCACCGTAATGTATGTTTATTACATCAATTTTGGATTTAATCCCCTTGTTTTACTTTAACCCTTTCGCGCCGACTTTTTTTAGTTATAGCTATAATGGTTTACTTTATTGCTATCATTGGCAAATATGTTTGTTAGACTCTGACAATGTTTTCAGACATTTGTTTTAACGTTTTTTCGCAAAAAATACATGGGACATATATAACCCACCAGGTTTTTAACATGGGACTTATTTAACCCATCAGTAATAAAAAATTAATTTGTTAATTTTAAAATTGTCCCTGTCCCATTACTCAATGCGTTAACTAAGAAAAATGTATAAGATAGAAGTATTTTATCTATGAAACTTAGAAAAACAGTCTCCACAAAGAGCAATATTACATTCTACACAATAAGTTTTTGTTCTTTTTTCCTTTTCGCTATGTGACACATGTGGCACCGTCTTCTTGTTTTTCCTTGAATGGGTAATTTTCTTTCCATCTTTCAGCTTTCGATCAATACCTTCAACTGTTGGTTTATGAAAATTACTCACAGCAATAACTTCCTTTGTATCCTTCCATCTGGCCACTAATAAACCTGTGTTACTACAATACTGCTCATAATCACCTCTCGCATCAAGTTTTTGTGACATTATTGGCAATTTTTTTCTATTGGAAATGCAGGTACCAACCGCAGCAAATGATAAGTTAGTTAGAAGATTAATTGAAGTGAAAAACCTATCGAAACATAAAATGACATTGTTGTCTCTAATACTTGATGCCAATTTAGTAACTACTCTTTCGCCTAACGACCCGATCATTTTTTCAGTTTCTTTGCCTGTGTAAATATTAAAGTCATATACGTAACCTGTTAGAGCATCACACCTTTGCCATATTATGATACCTCTCTTTATTGGTTTGAGAGGTAAATATTGTTTCAGGCTGGAACTTCCTTTAAATTTTGTCATTGATTCATCAATTGACTGATATCTGGCCTCACTCCTAGCTTGCTGAAAAGTATATTTTAGACACGAAACTAATTCGTCAGTGTAATATGACTTGCTGCAATTTGGAGGTTTTTCTGGGTGATTGAAGTATAGTTTTGAAATTAGTAACAACAACCTGTCCCTAGATACTGCCAACTTTATCATTTCATTTCCTAACGATTTATTTGTGGACCAATAGTCATGCAAATTAGGGACACGGTTATAGCTCATTACCAATAAACAGCCTGTAGCTAACATTATTTCTGAAGTGTCAGTTCTGGGAATAATTGTGTTTTTATTCTTTACTCTAAATATGTCTAATCTCTCATTGGTACATTCAGCAATAAACATAAATAAACTTCGAGGAAAAACTTTTAGAAATACGTCTAATTCAGTAGATGAACTGTTGCAAGATATTAATGGTTTAGCGATTACTTCTTCAGATGCTATATTTTTAATAGGTGCAAAATTTATGTCCTCCGGTGTGCCCCACTCAATATTACTTTCCACTTTAGACTCTTGACTTTCGACACTATTATTTTGAGCGTGAATACCAACATTTATATCATTTGGAGAACTGTTTTCGTTGTCTAGCTGAGTGTTATTTTTCAGTTCAATATTTTGTAAAATAATAATTTTTTTTATTAGTATCTAATATATTTTCTTCTAAATCACTATCTTCAGTTGAAGAAGGGATATATTCAGACCCACTGTCCTCAAATGGCTCTTCTAGTTCATCGATATCAGACAGGTTATCAGCATAATACTGTAATTCGTGCTCACTCAATATCCTTTTCCTAAAAAAATATTCATAGTAATAAAATGTACACTTAATAACTTAGAAATACGAGTGGGACACATGAGACCCATCCCTCATTATCAACATAAAATAATACAATAATAACTTCCTTCAATGTAATGAAATAAAATTACGTTTTGTTGTATTTACCTATCCATTTTCTGTTGGACTTCATATATTAATTCTTGATATATATGGCAACAAAATTTTCGCATCAAAACGACACCTGTTCAAGCTTGACTTACGGACAAACTACTAAATTTACGGAGTGTTATTACTGCGCAACTATGTGGTGTACGCATTGGCCAACATCCATTTACGAGTGGGACAAAGTTATATGTTGTTTTAAGGAATACAAATGCTTCTAGGCATTCCTGAAAATCAATGGGACATATATGACCCATTAGGCGCGAAAGGGTTAAACCTTCTTGGCTAACATAGGTGAAGCTTTATGTCTCCTTTTTGATTAAGATGGTTCTAAGTCTTGAGCCTAACATAACTTCAAGATATATTACCTGCCTCGATAGCTGCAACTGTTCTCTTTTACTATGGTTGGTATGCATAAACTAATTTCTTATTTATTCATTTATTTTCTTCTTAATTGTCGAATTAACTCGAAGTAAAAATGAAGATTTACCGCTGATTTTAAATAAATATTTAGATGCAGGAAAAAATTGTTAACAAATAATACTGCTTACTTTGATTCAAGATACTACTTTTTACATAACTATTGGATGTGCTGCTTGTAATAATATGATGGAGGTGCTTATGACAACAATTTTCTTAGAGACCATAGAAAACCGACGGATCAGACAATACCAATGAAATATCCTTAAGATGGACATTGGCTTTGAAAAGCTTGTATAGAAAGGTTGGCTCAGTTATCTATAGTAGGATCGTATTCGATGCAAAGTAGAGCAAAAAGTTGTCGGTCTTTTATCAAAGGAAAATCGTGTCATCATTTTTAGGAGGCGTAAGATAAATCATTTCAAATTTAAAATGAAATTCAATGTAAAATCTGAAATACAGCTGCATACGCACTGTGTTTTGGTAGTAGCTGTAGTCGCCCAGGTGCATCGACTGTACGAACTGGTCGGTTATACGTCAAATACTAACCTGGCGAGCTTTGCCGTCAATTAGAGAACGCTTCCAAAAAATAAGTAAACAAGAGTGGCGCGTACAGAGGTAAAATGTAGTACATATGTGGAATTTAGGAAACAAATTGGATTTATAATAAATTACATTTAAAATAAATAATTTATGAGAATAAAGGAATTTTTGTAGGAAAAAGGGTGCCAGACCTGAACTGATCCCCTCGTCCCTTTATAATGTATAAAGAAATTATTCAATTTTTAAAACCCTTAAAAGAGTACTTCATTGGTTCCCTTGACAGGCAATGATTTATTACTTTGCATCGAATATGATCCTACTATAGGTACTTACCTTTCCTTTACATCAACTAAATTTTGTAATAGGTATTGAAAATGTTGCTGACACGGTAAAACAATTATTTGGTCTACAAGCCGTTTATGTGAGGCAAGGAAATTTTACTGGGAACTGTGAACCATCAACGTGCTTTTGCTATAAAAATACCAAGCAAATAAAAACTGAATTGAAATCATTTTAAATGTGTAATTTATTAGTGTTTTCAATATTATTAATTTTCCAAACTGAGTGTTCCGTATTTTTTTTATAAAACACATTCATCACCTTAATATTTTAACAATTTTACAAAGTACCTACGAGTATGTACTTCGATGCATTTAAGCCCCTATCTAATTGCGTAGTGAAAAAGAAGTTATAGAATACAGATTTTTTGTTTGAGAAGAGAAAACATAGATTGATACTTTTTTCTATAAGTTTGTAAGAAAAGAAAATGTACACAATAAAATATTCCACAAATATGGCGGTTTATATAACAGCATTTTAATTTTTATTCTATACATAAATTTGTTATAACATTTTTTAAATCATTTAAAAAAATTTATAAATAACAACATTTAATGCACATAATCTGTGTTTCATGTTTTAAATCTAGAAAATACAATGATACACTTAACACTGCTTCACTTATAATAGGCCAATAATAAAAAACTTTTTTTTTCAGTCCATTCAATATTAAAACAGTTCATTACGGATACTGCTTGGAAGTTGATGGCATTTCTTCGTGGAAACTGGATGAAGATTCTTCCTTCATTGCTAACGGGGGAATCTGGAAGAAGACAACATCACTATTCTTTGCTATTTTATTTTCTAAGGCAAAGGTGCATCGAAAACACTAGTCAAAATTGGTAGTACAATTAAAATAGTTCCCATTATGGACTAAAATATAAAAATAATCATTTAAGCAGTTAATAGTGGTCATCTAAAATATTATCTACGTATATAATTTTAAGGATTTGAAATATTTCATCATGCTTCTAGCAAAAAGGTTGCGAATGCATTAATACTAAGATTGTTGAACTAGCTAATTAATAACTAGGAAACTAAGTGTAACATAGAATTAACTTTATCCATAAATATTAACCGACTATTTCCTTCAACAAAAATTTGAATATCTAAATCCTACAATCAAACTCAGTCTAGTTTATCACAACACCAATATTGCTTAAAGGATTATTTTGCTCCTTAAACCTAATTTAAGTCTAATGCGTTTACAAGCGTGTTAAACTGTTTAGCGAATTATTGTAGACAAAGGCAGTTGCGATGTTAAATTTAAAAAAAGAAAATTTATCATAATAAACCTTTTTTTCTACTTGAAGGAGGTATTCGTAATACCGATCCTGGAAGACAGCTCTGTCTGTAAAAGAATGTTTTCAATTATGGATAATGCTTATGTGGAGCTTAACTTAAATGAAATGAGGAAATTATCGAGAACAACAATTTTTGGTGAAAACTATAAAAGTAAATGATCTTAAAACTATAACAAGAGTGTTAGTTTTTAAGGAAAAGTAAACTTTGCATTATTTTATATGTAATCGCTGTGTGTTTTCGTTTTTTTTAAAGACGCAGAACGAATTGAAGCTACTGTAATATACTAAGAGATTTAACAATTTAACTATTAGCAAATGCTAACTCTAGTCACAAACGTGTTTTATTATGTAACTAGGTAAATACCAAAGAGTACAATAATTCTTAATTATTGACGTTTTTTTGTTCTTTGTGATAAAATAATAATATGGTTCAATAACTTCTGAGCTGGTTGCCACGATATCAGTTTAGGCTGTTTCACGTTTCGAGAAATATGTATCTCTACTTCAAAAGAAACTATGAACTCTGCACAACATCCCGAGGTCTGATGTATGAGTTATTTTGATCTTTTCTTGCCTTGCGATTTGTATTATTTTATATTAGCCAGCCAAAATATGCCCCCATTAGTATTATTTAAGTCTGTTGAGTGCCCTGTCTGCTTGGTGCTCCTCAATTACTGAGTTTCCTCCGTTGTTATTCTTTAGGTGACACTCGTGTTCCATTAATCTCGTGTTTCATTATATGTCTAATGCATCCTTTGCCATATGTACGGGGTGTAGTATACATCGGAGTACACCGCTCTTTCGGCTCTTCTTGGGAAAGATCGATCTTATCTTTCTGAAGGTGGTGTAGATGGGTTTGCTTAAGAATCAGCCAATCTTATCAGTACATCATTGTATATAGGGTAGATATCTTGTTGCTAGAAGTTTCCTTTTTGTTTTAGTTGTCCTACTAACGAATTGTTCAATATTCTTGCAGTATATCTGAGAGCTAAGCGTAGATGATGTAGTTAATGATGAATGATGCAGTCTTGCTTGCAGATGGCGCAGGCTCGATGCAGTAATGTGTTAACTAAGGGTACTGTTTTCTTCCAAATCCACGGTGAAGCTGATGTCCGTATGTGTTTTATTGAAGTGGTCCAGAAATCCTTCTGTGCATTGTTATATTTATGAATCCAGATGATATATACAGGGATACAGGGTGGCCGTCGATGTATTTTAAGCAAAAATGATTCAATTCACTTTTCCAGAATTCCCAACGGTTCTTGAAATATCGGGGTTTCAAGTTGCCTGATTTCAATTCGTTAACATCATTGACAGTCGTTTTTTCTATTTTTTGCGTTATTTGTGTTAAAATCATGCTCTTAGTTTATTCAAATGAAGAATAGGCGGACATGATTTTCGGGTATGGATATTGCAACGGTTAGGGAATATCAATGACGAAATCCAAACCGCCGTGTTCCAGACTAGCAAACGTTCAATAGAACCTTCACGACTCTTCGATTAACAGGTGCGTTCCTTAAACCAGCTTGTGAAAGAGAAGATATGCGAAGAAAAAATGCTGCAGAAGTGTTTGAGCTCGTTGAAAATGATCTTGGTACTAGTACGAGAAAAATTTCTGTACTTACTGGATAAAGTAGGACGGTTGTACAAGACCAGTGGCAAGAAAACGGACTGCATCCCTATCATTACCAACCGGTACAAGAACTTCTCTCCACGGTTCTTCCCCAAAGAGTTCGCCTTTGTGAATTGTGGAGCAATCATCTGGATACTCTTCCAAGAACCCTTCTTTCGGTAACGAATTTACATTTACAAGAGATGAAATCCACAATTTCCACAACGATCATGTGTGGGCAATGCTATTCGAGAAATCCATTTCCAGGGAACATTCTCAGTAAACGTTTGAGCTGGAATAATTAATAATGATGTTATTGGACCAAATTTCTTCGAGGGAAATTTGAACAGCGAAATGTACCGGGCTTTTTTGGAGACCGATCTACCTCTATTACTTCAGGACATTCCTCTTCAAATCAGAAGGATGATGTTCTTTTTACATAATGGCGCTCCGTCCCATTGTGGAAGAGGTGTCACTAATTTCCTAAATGAAAAGTATCCAAATCGATGGATAGATCGTGATGGTTCCATTGCTTGGACACTACGATCTCCGGATCTCAACCCGTTGGACCCTTTCATGTGAATACACTACCTATTCAATGAGAAAGCCTTATTGCAGGGACCAACTTATTGAGAAGATTCATACAGCCTTTGATGAGGTGAAAAACAATATGGAGAACTACAACTGAGAACGAGAGCTTCGGCAAAGCATTGAGTTATGCATTGCATGCAAGGCGGTGGTTATATTGAGCAGTTTTAGTAATTACACTGCCATTACTCTTTCATTAAAATAAATCAATTTTTTACTAAACCCTAAAATAAACTGAAATAATTTCAACCCATAAAAATGTTTTTGGAATGCCTGGAATTTGGAAATGACTAATAAATCAAAATCAGGGTTCGGAATGTCACAGCCTATTGACTTCACACCATATACCAGAACAGGAAGCACATGTATGCCAAACAAATATAGATTCCGAGGAAGAGAGCCTGGAAATATTATGATTATGATGTCTAAACTAATGATGTTGCAACCAGTCTGGAAAGCCTGCATATTAAACTACATCAACTATATATAATAATAATATATAAGGTTACAGCTATATCTCAGACCATTTCAGATCATTACAAATCATGACTATGCTGCAGATAAAAATATCTAGCAACAAATATGATGAAAAATGGGTTTAAAATATGTTTGTTTTCCTAATTTAGTATTTGCTATGGTAATACAAAATATAATCAATATTTCCAAATACCTTGTATATAAATATTATATGCAATTTTATATTTTTCATAGCTTCTGTTCAATGATCTATAAATTCTGCCAATGATAGTATGAAGGAAAACTTGTTAATTTTCTTACATACTGCGATTTGAGTTTGCCTTATCCGAATTTAACACTTTTTAACATTTTCTTTTTTTTTTTAAAGTACCTATGTAGGTATTTGCATAAAACAGTACATGAAATTAAGTTTTAAAATATCCTGATTAATAATTATTTATCTGCGTCCTGTGTGAGGTATTTTAGTTTATGTATATGAAACATGAAAAAATGTTGATGAAAAATGTTCGATTATTTTGAAGTAGGTATTTGTATCAATTTCTATAGTACGTAGATGAGAATTAAAATTTGTGTGTATTTGTTCTTATTTATTAAACTTTATAGAGGGTGTTTGATTAAGAATGAAAGAGAGTTTAATGGAAGATTCCTGTTATCAAAATAGGGCGATTGAGCTACAAGCCGTAATGAAATGTTACTTAATCTACTCAAGTTTAGAAAACTTCTTAATTTTGGCATTATTCCGAAAATCACTTCACCGCCAATCTCTCAGTCAGCTGTGATCATTCTTAATGAGAAACCCCTTATAAATAAACAGGTGCAGGAATAATTTGTCTTTATAAGCCACCAACTGGTAAATATTTATCTGTTTCTATATTTGGACTAATATCTTACTTGTTTGTCCTCTTCCAGAGTAGGCAGCAAATCATCAGTGGAATGGGGACTAGGTGTAGGCGCGATACGCGTTGTAGAACTGGATCTAGTCATCTTTGAGTACCTACGCTCCATTTCTCTCTCTTCTTTTTGCATTCTCTCCCTTTCATACCTTCTAGCGCTGTAGCTCCTTATAGAACTGGAGCTGTGCACTGACGCAATGCTTGGTCTCCTAGATCCTGTATTTACAGTAAATTTTGTAAACGTAGCCTGGATTTTTATTATAACAATAAAAATGAGTTGTTCAGCGCGTGAATATTACATTGAATCTAGAAATTTCTTGCTTTGCTGCAGCAAAGTGCAATTTGTAAATTAGAGGAAGCAGAGACAGCGTGTTCTATTGAAGTGAAAAAATATTTTCTAAAAGGGACACACAACAATCTATGCATTTAAAATTAAAATAATGGGTTCTATACGGAGGAAAACTAGTTGGAAGAAATTATGTATTAATTTATTCGTTAATGGATAATGAAACAAATTTAATATCTTGTTTGTGGTAGTGAAGTAAATTTTGTATTAATTGAATATATTAGAATACTCAGTGTGTATCAATTTTAATCTAAATTAAATCTAGTATGATTCCTAATAGTCTAATTATCTAAGTTATACATAAAATGACATTATCCAAACTACTGCAGTTACTACTACTAGAAATAAAAGAAATTAATGAAAGCACAACTAAATTCAGTAATACAGTATGCCAAGTAACGCGCGGGTGGACATCTTGGAAATTATTATTTTTAACTACTTCAGTGGCTGTCACTTCGGTTAGAAAATTATAAATTAGTTTTACATAGTCTACTGATGTTATCGTAATTTTTTTCTCAGAATCATACCTTTGTTTTGACGCACGGGAAAGAACCTTTAGTTGTAAGACTTATTCCATCATACATTCTACTGTTTTCGAAATATTAACAGTATAAAATCACTGTCACTGCATTAATACGGATTTTTTTTTTAAATTAATGCATCTAAAGTCATTTTACAAAATGAATTAAAATGAGATAATTTACACACATTATTTTACGATTACCTACCCTCTTCAACGGTATCAAAACACGGGTAAGCATCTGAGAAAGAAAATAGCAAAGCGCCTTCGTGCGGTATGAATATATAACTAAAATATCTTTATCCTGTACGTATATAACACCGTTTTGAGATTTTAATTATAGATATTTAACTGTTTTCAGAAAATCTCATTTCCCAAGTTACATCGATTATTCTATCTTTGAAGCTACAAATGATTTGTAGGACAAAATGTCGTTTAAAATATTTAAAAAATAGATTTTGATAGGTGGTATCAGTATGATGTTGAAACTACTACTGAGGAGAGTATTATGCTATTTATTTTGGAAGCTAATTGTGATTACCTACTAATCAATCAATATAACGTTTTTTTTTTGTACATGCAAAATATATGCAATTATGGGAAAAACTTATTTATATTAAATTTTGATAAGCAGCAATAATCTGCATTTTAGAAGAACACCAAACAATGTTGTACGTATTTAGAGGTTTGGAGCAGAATTCACTTTAGTTTTAAGTGATGACATTATCAAAAATAAATGCTCTATAGACATTATGAGCCGACTAGCATTGAATTACACCAACAACATCGTTTAGATATGAGGATGAAGTTAGATCATCAGAACTACTGATAAGGAAGGTTATCGAAGTGTCAGTCACCGATTTCAATGAAACTTCGCTACGTTGTAGAGGACAATAAAATATGAGATACGTATATTTTCTTTTCTTTTGATAAACATTTTAAAGAGCACCTCTAAAGGTTACCCCCAAAATAGTTTTTTCAAGAAATTTCGTCCCTGTTTCGAGTTCGAGTCATAATTAATCAGCCTGATGCGACAATTCTTAATTCATATTCATACACAAATAGTTTCAAAACCTTGCGATAACAAAACCCCAAAACCGGATCGGTGGGTGGAATCGGATTTGTTTTCTATATCACCTATTGCTAGTTCTCGTTCCCCACAAGGCATTCGTGTTGAAGCAGTCCTCGAAATCCTGCCAGACCTTTAAAGACGAGTGACTTTGAAATTTTGATTGACATTCTTTAGAATTTCTAACAATACAGAGATAATTGCCTGTAACGGTATTTATTGAACGTTAATAATAAAAATGTACTTCCTTTTTTCTTGTCACTAATGTACAAGTTCCTACATATCTACGTAGATTTCAACTTATACTGACCCGTAGAATTTATAGAAGGCTTTATTTGTTAACAAAATCAAATTGATTGGTTATAAGTATTTTATTATTTATCGTTTTTATGCCTGTTACTAACACAAAAATATAACAATGTATACGATGTTGTGTATCACTTTTAAAATGAGATTTAATATTAGGTACTTCTGAACAATATTAAAAGAAATTGTGAATTCTTAGGATCAATATTTTTAAAGGAAATATTCTCTAACTATTTATACTACATAAAATTTTGTTAAAGCAATAACAATTATTCTTAATGTACGTTCATAAAAAGTTAAATAAAAATATACCTACAGATATTTTATTGAAACAATGAACACACAAGACATAGTTATTAAAAAAATATTTAATAAACATTTTTTAAAATGTGAAGTAGGTTTTTCTGTTTGGTATTAATATAACAGGTGATTTTTTTAACCTGAATATTTGAAAGTAATATTTCGAAAAATAAGCGCCCTACGAAAAAAATGTTCATTTTTGAGAATGAGAATTTAGTAATTTATGGCGGAAATACATACTTAACGGGGATAACTTTAAAATCTTAAATAAAAACCCCTATTTTATATTGCAGATTCAGATTATACGGCTAAAAGTTCGTAGGATTTGCTCAAACATATTTTTCTATTCATAATATAAGGCGCTGTAATCGACGAAATTGAATTTTTTCGATTTCTCCTACTGAGAACAAATGTAAGTATATTATTCTGCAATATGTTTGCAATAAAAAATACCAAGTTTTATGTAAATACTTGAAATTCGCCATCAAAAAAGTTTATAATGCAAATTTCGAATAACTGGGAAATTGTTACCTGTTAAATCCTGATACCTGATAAATGGCTGGTGAATAAATTACTTTTAGTGTAACACTGGAATAATGAAGCGGACATAGTAGTTTTTTGTTCCCTTCGGGGTGCTTGATTAAAATGAGTTAAAGTTATTTCTTCCTTTGTACATTTAGTTTGTGTTTGTGTAGTTACAGAAAACACGAATGAAGAAATAACACAAACGTTAAATGTAAACGCAATGAAACATTTTTATAAAAAAATATTTTTAACAAAACAAATGATAAATTTAAAACAAAATACAAACGAAGGAAACTGCGTTGACGAAGTATCCCGAAAAGGACGCCTGTTCCTGGATTACGATAATAGTAGTTTCTTGACAAGTTATTTTTCAAGAAATGAAAATTTGAGAAATAAAATTTTGTTTTAGGACTAATTAGGCAATAAAAAATAATATATAAATAAAATATTTAAGTTTTCAAATTACTTAGCACTAGTGCATTCCCTTCGTAGAATGATTAAATTTTAATTATGGACCCTTTTTTGTAGAGTGCTTATTCCTCGAGTTATTTGAAAGTTTCAGGTTAAAATAACTACATGATTTTAAAAAGTGAAAAATGCATCGATATGTAGATAGAAAGAGATTATCATATCCTTCAAAATTATTGATACACCATAACTATATACTTTTATTTCAATATCATTGTAGGTATTATAAACTACAACTAACGCATCAAGTTTAAGAGAAAAAAAAATAGCAATTATTTAATTAAAAATGGATTTTATGTCTACTTATAATTATTTAAGCAGTTATTGAAGAAGGAATATAGGTTATACTTATTACATTTAGAATACTTCTATAAATTGAGATAAAAAATAATTAAATATAGTACACATAAATATATTTCCTACTTACAATACTGTCGTGCAGCATGCAACATTGTATCTCTATTTGTCTACACATATTCATGCAGTGTGTAGTGTATTGTGGTATGATTATCATTTTATTATTTTTATTTTATATACATGTTGTTTAAGTCCAATGGTGAAATTGTGTAACCATAATGCATATAATAAAAAAAATAATTTAAAGCCGACTTCACCCCTGCCATCTTGTGTTCTCCATGCTGCTGGTTAGATGAAGAATGGATCTATGAACGTGGTAACAATGGTATGGTTTCTCTTTTTTTGTCAGAAAATTTCAACTGGGAAGGGTTAACATAAAAAGAAATGGTTAAAGCAATGTATATACAAATTTTAAATTCTAGTTTCATCTTTAACTCAAAATAAGTAACTTGATTATTTGATGTTACATTCATAGTGACCTCAATTCAATTTTATAATTTAAACAATTTTTTATTAACATAAATAGGAAGAAAAGAAGGGTAAAAGAATAAATCATCATTAACAAAAAAGGAGAAAACATATTTGTTACTAACGAAATCTCATTGAAATGGATATAGCTTGTATGTACTTAAAATAGTGAGTAATATTAACATTTGTTAATATGATGTTATGAAATACATAAGGCAGTAAAATAACACACAAATAAACAAAATAAAAGTTTTAATTAGTTTGTTGTTATTATCGCTTCTAATGATAAGGACAATTAATTAAAATATGTACATTAAGAAAGGAATTGTTTCTCCATTGAACGTTTCTGTTATGTCTAAGTGTACAGGGTGTCCGGGAAATATGTATAAACGTAATTCTTTGTTTCAAAATGAGTCAGTTTACAGTAAGTCAATGCGTGGTATGTGTTGCAGCTGTGGACAATAAAAAGTTTTCAACCTAAACTGCATATGGTCCTTTAAAAAACAAGACATAATTTTAAACCCTATTAGATGTTTTAAGTAGAAAACTCTTATTGTTCATAGCAGAGGTATTTTGTCGTTATACGTCTCTAGTTATTTGAATATAATATATTAAAATATGGAAAAAATAACATAGAAGGAGTCATTTGGACTCCTCATACCCTTGATTGCAATGTTTACCTAGTTTAACTTTTCTAATGCTAACTATTTAAGATTTTTGGTTTTTCTTAAATTCTGACAAAACCAAGGATCTCGTATAAAAAAGATAAATTTTTAGCCTTAAAGCACTGAAATTATAGACCATTGCTTGTCAGAGAAAAAGAAGAACTAGAAAAGTTGCAGAACGAACTTAATTCAAAACAAGTGTTCTAAATTTAAGCATTTTTTTATCTTTTAATTACATTTTTGTTAATATCTCTACTATTTAATACACAGGGTGTTTGTAAATAAGTGCGAAATATTTTAGGGGGTGATTGTCGAAGTTATTTTGTGAAAAAAAAGTTTATATAAACGTAGGTTGAAATATGCTTCGCTTCCGAAATACAGTGTTTAAATTTTAATTTTAAATTTATTTTTATTAATTATTTCAAAGAGTTTTGAACATCCTGTATCTCGAAATCGAAGAATTTTTTACCCACATTCATTCATATCAACTTTTTATTTTATGTTGGATTTTTACTTTGACCACGCTTTAAAGGAAGACCCTTAAATAAAAGATTATCAAAACCTACAATAAAATATGTTTTATTTTTTCTTCAAAAACGGTGCATCCTACGAAAAAAATTGAAGAGACCAATTTCATTTAGCAAATTTCTAAAAAAATATCAAAACGGGAAAAAGTCAGTGGGGTACCATTTACTTTTATTAAAAAAAGTTGGTGCAAGTAGAAATATTCGGATCACCCCAAAAAATGTCCATTTATCCCTCCGAGGGGTGTGTCAAATTTCGAATCAATATTTTTAAAACTCTTTGAAATAATTAATAAAAATAAATAAAAAATTAAGTTTTAAACACTCTGTATCTCGGAAAGGAAGCATATTTCGACCTACGTTCATACGAACTTTTTCACAAAATAACTTCGGCAACTACCCCCTAAAATATTTCGCACTTATTTACAAACACCCTGTAGAGGTATATGATAGTTACCGCAAGTTAAGTGTTCCATTAAAATAAAACACAAGTTTAGTTTACATCCCCGAAATGCAACCTTCAATTGTTTTTTATACATACATTTGAAATCGCAAGAAAATTTCCTAAAACTTTGGTTTTTAAATACATTTTTTAAATAGAAAGGTAAAAAAGCTAAGAGGAGTAAAATATTATGTGATAATCATTGTACAGTGTAGTCGTCTATAAGTGTCACTCTAGTCTTCTTCTATTTCCCAACTCATCTTTTTATATAAGAAGAAAAACGTAAAGATAACAGTTGTGGAACTGTGGAACTTTTTTAAAATTTTTAAAATCTAGGTTGTGAAAACAATTAAGCATCGAATTACAAAGATCTTACTATTATAGTGATATAAGATTCTATGGATCTATTTCTAATAGTAAAAGAGGTATAGCCATAAGAATCTGAAGAATCTGTCCTAAGCCTAACGTACCAGAAAGATATTGTTAGTTTCTATGCGGTCCAGTTTTTTGTCTCATGGCATATTATTTCTATCTCCCTTAATATTAGAGACAGACCCATTAAATCTTATATGGATCACTATTGCGTGAAACAACTACTCTGCGGGGTACATGTCCCGACAGATACTGAATTACGCCAGCAATATCTAGTAAATAACTAAGATTATTCGTCAGCTGAATCCACCAAATATGCCGGTTTCAGACTTCATCAGCATGCCACAAGTGAGACAATCGACGAATTATCTGGCTATTTTCGATGTCTTAAGCCTGTATCAGACAATGCAATTTAGGTTCAGCGACAAAATTGCGGGGATTTTGTTGCAGGGATAAAATTGCATGCTTATTATCACACAGTGGGACAGAATCGCTGCAATTTGTTTAGTTTCAAGTAGTGTTACCAACTCTGCATTGTTTAACATGTAAAATTTCTTGTATGTATCTTGTAAACAATTATTATTTTTTATCAAGTAAAACATTGCAATGGATAATAATTTAAAAGTAAATTTCTGTATAGCTTTAATTGCGTTCAACGGCGTTATTAACAACAACCATGATCAACAGCCAACAACAAGTAGGTTCGTAATAAACAAATTTTGTTATACGGAATAAAGCATGTTCTAATTCATGCAATTCAGTTGCCGGGGCAGAATTGCATAGTCTGATAAGAAAAAAATCATGGATTTTATCGCGGCAACCAAATCCGCAACAAAATTGCATTGTCTGATACAGGATTTAATTATAAACATAGAGAGTATAGTTGAGAGATAGCAGAGTGATACATCCTGCTTCTCAGTGGTCACTGCATCTCAGTGCCTAGGCTTTCAATGGCAGAAAGCGACATCAATATCACAGGTACTATTAGAACCGATTAGCTAGCAGAACCGATTTTTAACTTATGATATTGTGGGAAACAACTACTCTACTGTCTACATTTCTCGACCAATATCGAATTATACCAACAATATCTAGTAAGCAGCTATTAAAAATTGTTGAATCGTTCGTCGGTTGTCTCACCTACGGCATAAGTCCAAAACCGTATAGTTCTGGTTTGTTCGACTGAAGAATGATCCCATTTGTTTACTAGAATTGCTGGTATAATTCAATGCTGGTCGAGATATGTAATTCTCAGAGTAGGTGTTTCTTCCAATATCATCAGTTAAACAACGGTTCGTCTGGTTGGCAATAAGTCGTGCTTTCATAATACTTGCAAACTTGTAGGTCGCTCTCTGCTAGCGTGGCCGTATTGAAGGCATAAGCATTGAGTAGCAGTGACTAGTCTAGATAGACTTTGCCATGTCCCGCGTATATAAATAGAATATTAGGATAACGTTCTATCTGAATGTGTATACAGTATTCCTTAAAACAAAAACAATGTTAGTCTTACATTTTTGTAATTCGATGCTCAATAATTGCTTATGCAACCGTAAGCTTCCAAAAATAAAAAAAAAAATATATTTTGAAGGAAATGGAGAAAATAGAGGGTGATTGTACGTGGATAACTCCCTTCACCGTTAATATATTTGAGTCAAACATGTTATGACTTAGATTTTTGGTTGGTTGCCACGTCGTTGGTTAAGACTTCTTTGACGTTTCGAGAAAAATTTCCACTTTTACTCAGAGGAAACTTTGAAGAAGAAAGCAAATGTCTCTCGAAACGACCGAAGTCTAAACCAACGATGTGGAATCAGCTATTGAACCATTAACAATTGCCACGGAAACCTGCTCTCGAGATCCGTAGTCTGCTATGACATTCAACAGATATAATAATTTTGCTTTATCAGCGAGGGTGTTTGATTTTAATTTGTGGGTAGGTCAATCAGAAGCGAAATAATCAACAAATTAAAAAAAAACAAGAGAGACAGTACAGAGCCTGGCACACTGAGATAGTGCAGTGCAGCCTAGATGCATCTATACCGAATTTGGTATCAGCTCTCTCATGACACGAGACTTCGTAGGGGGCCACGTGACAGTAGGAGAGCAGCAAGATGGCGGCGGCACGGGCCGCACCTGCACGGGAGGCGGACACAGAAATGCCGCGACACCCAGGGGCACTGCTGGCCCGTCGCGACGGCATGGACGCGAAGGTTCGATGGCTCGACGCTCGGGACGTCAGACTTCGGTCGATGATAGGCAACGGTAAGGATCCTGGAACAGTCCTTACCAGTTATTTTGTAACTTGATCAACCAGTGCATTGAGGTAAACAGTAATACAGTAAATTTGTTATGTTGAGTTTGGTTTCATTAAATGACACTGATTTTCCAGAGACGTGTCAAATTTACCCCCTTGAATGGACAAGTTTTATATAAGGTGTAAAAAATTTATTCATAGATTCCTCAGATAAATACACAGGTATTAACTCAGTACCAAAATGCTTCCTTAAGGGGTAAAGCTACCCTAGAATTTTGAAAATAGTCGATTTTTGGATGCTTAAACAATGCTTTATTATGTGAATAATAAAGGAAAAAGGATTTAGGTGGGGGAAAAATCGGGAATACGAGTTTTTTCGAGATGGAGTGCAACCAATCAGGAGTGCAGAGTACTTCACGAGTGCTTATTGTAACTCGTGAGAATGCCCGCGAGTGTTAGCTATTATAGAGGCCAGATTGAATCTCAGATCAAGCCGAAAAGAACAGAATGAAGAAAATGTCAATGTAGAAGGCCAATTATATGGTGCAGGCATCGCTGATTGACGAACGAATTTCCTATGCTGAATGGCAAAAAAAACTTTAAAGGCATTTTTCGAGAAACCACTTTTTTTTAACTGGACAGAAACATAATTCAAAAAGTTTTTAATTAATTGACTTAAAATTTTGTACAAGGCCGCACAATAATATAATTCAGAGAACATCATTGGGGGTTTTCGATTGATTAAGAGTTTTCGTTGTTATTGACAATTTAATATAAAATTTTTTCGATACTTTTCTTTGAATGTTCACTAAATCAACAATTATTAATATTTTTTAATTTCCCTACGAAGTTACTTAACTTTTAGTATATAATATCACAAAATTTTAGTTTTGGTTTGGCTCCTGGACCATCTGTTAATAAGAAACCCTTCCAGCTTCCGGCCATATAACCCTCTGAATAAAGGGTGTCATTTGGTTTGCCATCACCTACAGCGGCCATTTTAAATTCAAAACGTTTGAAAAAATTCACAATACTACTTAAAAATATATACGTACAATAAATCCTTTTTGTTCCTGACAGTAGATATATCTTTTAACAATTTGTTCTTGAAAACTCCTGAAAATCACATTTTTTCTAACCTCTAGAGTGGCGTTATCCTTTAAAAAGCTACGGGCTTTAAAAGAGATGTTTTATTTTTAATTTTCTTATTATAATTATTCATATTTTAAGATATGTGACACAAACTTGGCATAGGGGTAGGAATAAAAGCTTGTTGTTCAAATAAAAGCTATGAATACCTTAAACAGTATTCTGTTTTTTGCTATGTTTTTTCTTGTTGGTAGTGATTTTAAGGAAAGTAACTTAAATACATATCCAGTTATTTTATCAAAGAAGTGAAGTAAAATTGGATTAGAATATCTCTGAATACTTGACAGCCCTAAATGATAACTGCCGTTGAAAATTAATATCTATACTTCGCAGAAACTATTACAGGGTGATTCACAATTTATCCAAAAAAATTTGGGAATAGATGCGATTTGAGAATAGATGGAGTCAATATAAAAAATTCTTTAGTAAAATCCTTATGGGTTCCGAGAAAAAATTATTAAAATTGAAGTATTTTCAACCCTTACATCGTTGGGCTACTGTAATCTCTAGCGTTATTCGCGATATCTCCACCTCGACCCAGGCGATTCCGAATACTGAAATCCAAATTTAGTATTAATGTTTTAGCGATAGTGTTTATATTAGTCAAGTGTCAAAAATGGCTTACGTTAATAACAACTCGGTTGATGTATATGGTTCTAATTTATGGTGAACCAAGACAACATTTGTGTTATGGTAAAGTGAGACAACATTTGCGCTATGGTGACGCAAGACAACATTTGTGTTAGTTCATAGAAACTGGGTAAGACGGGTGCAAATGTGTTTACACGTCGGTGGACAAAATTTTGTAGAATTGTTGGAACATCAGGTATGTCAAATTATTTTATTAATTAAAACCACATGTATTTAATTAATTAATAATAATAATAACGGCAAAAGCAGTTGAATTTGCTTATATAAAATAGGTGTTATAAAATTTTATTTATTTTATTTTCTTGGGAAATAAATTCGTGCAATTTTTTGTCCCGTCATTTATTATTACACTTTGCTACCGTGCCGGTCACCGATTGGATGCTTTGACTTGCGCAAGGTCAGGTTTTACAGTGGACCAGTTGCCAATGCTGTGCAGAAGTGTATTTTTAAAATCACTTTCGAACTGCCCTTTTAGAGATTTTTTTTACAAAATTGTATTTGTAAGAGCCCTGTACATTCCAAAATTTTTTTTTGGATAAGTTATGAAGCTATATATTAGCGTCATTTATGTTTGGTGAAAAGTAAGCTTATATTCATATTTAGCTTTACCAAAAATTTCTTATGCTAAGTTTTATTGAAATATATTAAATTTAAAAAATGATTGTAAAAAACAAGCAAAACATTATTTCAAGGCCCGTAATTCTGTTAAGGTATCATTTTGGTACTGAGGTATATTCGATTTATTGGTTGGTTTGGCCCGAGAAAGTCTTGTTTACATTTTTTACACCTAACTACAACTCACTTTATAAAAATAAAAAATATACTATAATTTTATACATTTATTGCACAGATAAGAAACTGCAGCAATTTTTTATATATGGGTCAAATTAAACGGTCCCTACCTAACTAAAACTATACTAAAACGATAAACATTTGAGTATTTCTATTCTATTTCAAAATTTTGCGCACCTCACTGAAATCTGAAATTCGTCGATGAAATAAGAAGTATTTTTCTCTAAAACTCTACGAAATATAATTTCTGTATGCAATTTTCTTCCAGTAATTTTGTACAGTTTTACCTATTTTTAAATTTTATTTCCGCATTACTTCATACTGGATCTCAATAATTTTTGAAGATTAACAATTATAATAGTGATTCCTATGCCAAGGGGAAAAGTAATTACACCGTTTTCAGATTTGGGTGTGAATGAATGATTTTAAATGATGGTGTTGTGGGAATGCCCCGTCCGTCATAGAATTACACTCTCAATATCTAGTAAACAGCTAAAATTATTCGTCAGCATGATTACCATACATTTATTTCATTAAATTGACTCTGTTTCTTTTCTGTGTAAAATAGGTGTACTAATTTGAAAATAAATAAAATTGAGAATAAAACGGCGGATAAGATATATTTTGTCAACTTCAGGGTGGACATATTTTTTCTTCACTACTTATAACTTCTTTCGCTGAGATGTGCAATATTTGAAAATACAGGTGCAATATTAATAGCACAGTGTAATGGAATTCAAGTGTTTCTTCTTTGAGTTAGGTGTGAGCGCGAAATTGAAATTGTAAATATTGATATTTATTATTATTAATTTTGTGATTTTTTGGTTATAAGTATATTTTCTACAAGGTTCGACTCCTTCTTACAAGGTTTGGTTCCTTTACAAGTTTCTGCCAGCGTCCATGAAGACTATTACGTATTTTGTATGTAAAATTTGTTTATTTGGGGGGTAAATTTGACGGATCTGTTTTTATATCGCCTTAATTTGAATTGAAGATAATTTCTTGGTTTCCAGATATATAAAGTATTTAGCGCATTAGTAGTAGTACAGAGCCTTAATAAATGATTAGAAACCACGTGACAGTCGAACTTAGACAACCCTAAATCTTAGTATCATCAATGTTAATGATTCGTTCACAATGAACAACGACGACCTGTTGCGTCTACGCTCTAGATAATGCGATCAAAGATTCGTTGAATAAAATCAATCACCAGCCGCTGAGAGAATGTACTCTTGATCTTACTGGTTCAATAATCTTTAATTTTACCGAAATTTAATTGCTAACGTGAAGGAAATAAAATTACTGTTCCAACCAAAATTACTGGCTTCTAATCAGCTCTGTATATGGTAATAGTAGTCTAATTGGTAACAGCAGGAAAGGATAGTTTTTTTGTTAAGAGCAATTTCTTTAATCTAGAATTAATGGTAATTTTGAAAATTAAAATCTAGAATATTGAGATTAATTTTCACTAAACGAAGGGTGATTCATTATCAATTTGTAACCTTTATAGTTAGTTAAAGGGTGAAACAGGTTAGAAATCTCTCACATATATGCCACTGATTTTTTTAGTAATAATTTATTTCCAAAAAGTGTACTTTAATGGTCTTATTACCTAACCAAAATATGAATAAATAATGTTCGATTATTTCTGAGCTATTGCCAAAAATAATTTACTTTTCTTGTACGTGAATGATGTAAATTTTCTGATATTTCTATTTTCTAGTGAATCTTTTTGCATATATGCTGTGTATACTTATACTGGGTGTCCCAAAAGAATCGCAGGATTTCAGATGAGGAAAAAAGATTTTATTAATTAAAAAATTGGCAAGATTTTTACATGTGTTTAAAGAGAAGACATTCCCATTAAATATGAAAGAGGATATTGGCCAAATCTCCTCCCTACTCATTTGGCATAGGTACTCGACTTTTTTTAAGAAAATTCTGTATCACGCTTTCGCATACCTGCGCCTGAATTTCATTGATAACTATCCGAATCTCTGCTTTTAATTCAGGAATGGTATTCATTTGAGCAGAATAAACTTTGAACGAAACCCTACAGGAAAAAATGGCATAGCATAAGATCGCATGAACTTTATGGCCAAGTCACTTCACTGTTGTGTGTCATTAATTAAATTTATGCCGTAACAAGTGGATAGTTTCACGTGTCGTATGTAAGGTGGCACCATACTGCTAGAACCACATGTCATCCAAATCTATGCCATCCAAATGAGCCCACAAAAAGTTCAATAGCATCTCTCGATATCGTTCTCCGTTTACAGTCACTGCGTTTCCAACCTCATTTAAAAAAAAATGGACCACACTGTCATTCTTAGGGTATATAGTGGTCGTACTTGAATGACCCGAGGATTGTCTCTATCCAAATTCGATAGTTTTTCTTGTTCATTCACATACCCACTAAAATGGA